CATCATTTTTTTATAATAAAAAATGGTGTTGGATTATAATCATAACATGTACTAGCTGACTGATCAAGTCCGATCAAATATTGTAAAATAATTTTTTATGTGTTTCACACCGTGTGTAAAATCAGTTGTGTAACATCAACGGTTCCTCCTGTTCTACGATGGCTATGTAAAATTTGCAATAGTATGTAAAACCCGCAATTTACACGACTACATATTATGCAACCTCATAGTTTAGTAATTATGGTCCTTTAATGAATCTCTTTTATACAAGTAATTTATAGGGAAAAATCGGATTATTGGATTAATCTTTCAATTAATACTGTAATTTTAGTAATTACTATCAATATAGCGCAGGATCTTTTATAAAATTATGAAAAAGCTTTTGAATACTACATAATATCTGCTGAAAGTGGACAAGATAATGCTATGACCCTATAAAAAATGTTGATCCGTGTTTATTATTCCATGCTTTTTCCATGAATGTTTAATTTTCATGGAATTTATAACCTTAAATCATGGAAATTTTCATCTCCCTAACACGGATATGACATAATGGAAATATTAGGATAAAAATTTTTTATAGGGTGAAAAACGACTAGACTATTGTTGGTCTAAAATTAACCAGAATTGGAATAATTCGTATAAAACGATATGACTAGAAAATAGTGTAATCTAATTTTTGTGTCTTGGTGTGAAATGAAAATACAGCATTTACATATGTTTAACAGTTATCTTTCATTCATTATGTAGGGTAATATGGTATTAGAAGGTTCAAAAAAGTAGCGTTAGTTTAAATTGAAGCAGCTTTTCCTGCATTATATGTGTTAGCACTAGTTTTCTAGATGTATATAAAAGCTAAATTTTTAATTTTTATTATATGCTTTATATAGTCATTGCGAGATTTACAGTATATAGTTATTGTGAATTTACATAGTTGTTCGTGGTTTTACATGACTATTGTGGGTTTCTCATATTTATTGCGGGTTTTACATATCCATCGCGGGTTTTACATATCCATCGCGGGTTTTACATATCCATCGCGGGTTTTACTTATCCATCGCGGGTTTTACTTATCCATCGCGGGTTTTACTTATCCATCGC